GAGGGACACAATTCAGTCCATAACGGGTGGTCACAGCTTCCACTGCTGCCTCCTGACCCTGTGTTGGTTTTCCAAGTCCTGCCCACACCTCTGTAAATAGCTCCTTGGTTCAGTTTCTCACAATCCTGGTTGAGAACATGCCTCTGTGTCCTGCAGGAACTCGTCAAGCCTTAGCATCTTGGCCAGTTTGTTTTGGTCTGTTCTTAAAAAAAAAAGCCCTGATCTTTGTTTCCTGGGGTCGCTTCTGGAAAATTCGGCAGATGAGGGGAAGGACCTCTGAGTTTGTTTTGGGAGGAGGGGGGCGTTCAAAATAGATCACATCTGCAGTCTCCTCAAGCAAGAAGTCATGGTAAAGTGTGCCCACACATTCCAAGAAAGCCTTGAAGGGTCCACCTAGGGGTGTTCAGCATAAAGAAGCTACGGAGGGATGAGGATCTATCTTCAAATACCTGAAGAGCCGACAAGGGGAAGAGTCATGAAGTCAATCTGTCTGTTTCTACAGAGAGACTGATATGTGGCTCAGTATAGTATCACGAGTAAGAGATTACTTATGTAAGTTTATATAAAAGATATATATATAATATAAACAGATTTATGTAAATAATATAAAGTAAGTAAGAGATTTCTGAGAATCGTTTGAATTGTGGGCATCCCAGTCACAGGAAGTATTCAAACAGGGGCTGGATGGTCAGAAGCCGGGGCTGGTGATCTCTCCCCTTTCATACTGGCAAATGCCATGATTGTAGAAACGGGATTGGAATTTCTTTAGCCCGTTTTGCCCCCTGAAGATATGAGGCTCACATCTCCAAAGCTGCACAGTGCTTTCAGATGTAAGAATTTATACCAAGGTAGAAAAACTCAAACTTCCAGAGAAGGTGCCCCAGCCATTGGCTTCCCACCCAAATGGGTAATTACTAAAGCTGAGTCAAGCCTCAGCCAGCGTCTGATGCTGCCCACACCCAGGTATGGCTCCAGGGGGCTATAAAGGGCACGCTACTGGAAACTGGAACAGACTCCAGCTATCAGCTTTGATCTGCACCCTGCAGGCAGGTTGGGCTGGGAGCCGGTTTCTCTGCTCCTTGGGTGCTGGGCTAACCTCTTGGGTTACCTCTTGGGTGCCGTGGCCTCCTTTAATTTCAAAATCATTCGAAGGCTCCCAGTCCTCATTGTCCTGGCAGAGAAGCTTGTCGCTGTCAGCACACCTCTGGTTACACCTTCTTCTTCTTTTTTTTTTTTAATTAATTAATTTATTTGTCAGAGAGAGAGAGCACAAGCAGGGGGAATGGCAGGCAGGGCAGGCAGAGGGAGAAGCAGACTCCCCGCTGAGCAAGGAGCCCGACGCAGGACCCGATCCCAGGACCAAGCCGAAGGCAGATGCCCAACTGACTGAGCTACCCAGGTGTCCCCTGGTTATGCCTTCTGATCGCCACCATTTACCACCATGGGCTTGGCAGGTGTTGATGGAAGCAGGAGGAGTTTTTCATCAGTCATGAGTAGATATGTAGATTTAAAAAAAAAAAGTCACAATTTACGTCAGTTACAGAGGTATTTCAGAATCAGAAGCTGATGCTTCAGGCCAGAGAAGGTTGGAAAGAACATCAACAAAAATTAATCGAAATGTATTTCTTTGAGTGAATTGCTTGGCAAGGCTATTATATTTGAATCATGCTAGACCAAATCCTTTCTTTATTTTCCTAAAGAGTCTTTAAATATAACTTACTGAATAGGACTTTACATAACTGAAAGTGTGATGCACAGCATTGCTTTATTGTTGTTATAAAAAAAAAAAGTCCTACTCCTCATCTGTGTGCAAATGGTAATCAATTCCCCACAGCTTCCCTTCTCTCTGGGAGTCTCTGGCTCACCCAGAATCATATTCGGAATCATGCCCAGAATCTCAGGCATGGTCTTGTGGGTGTCATGGTGCAAAATAAGAAAAAGAAAGAGGCACCCCTTCTCACTGCTTATTAGTACAAACCATACAATCTCTTTCGAATTTGTCAGTGGGGAGAAGTTATGTAGGCCAATACCACGAGGTGAGAGAGATAAAGCAGGGTAATGAAAGAGGGAGAGCCTGGGCACTCAGGGTAGGCCTCTCTGAGGAGGGGGCCATTGAGCTGACATCTGACTGACATACGGGAGCCAGGCTTGACAAGATCTGGGGGCGGAGCATTCCAGGTGGAAAAGACTGTAAGGTGCTGTAGTAGGTCCTGCTGAGCAGGTATATTCAATGTGGTATGATTTATTTGAATCAGACCATCATTCACTCACCAGATATTTCAAGAGCGCCCACTAGGTGCCAGGAACTGCTGAAGGTGCTTGGATGATGTTAGGCTGGAATGTTTCTTGTGGAAAGAACAAGAATGTTGCATAACAGTCCTGGTGTCTTTCACCCCGGCTGCCTGGCTCTTATTCCTGGGCTAGCACCTCAGCCTCCTCTGAAGAGCTGGCCTGCTTTATTCCTTGACGTGTGATGAAAGGAGCCTGACCCAGGACTTGGCCTGTGGTTCTCCAGTGATGGACAAATCTCTGATTCAGGCATTCAGGATGAGGAAGTTCGTTTTTTCAGCAAATAGAAGTCACATTCTCCATGAGCAGTTCTTACGAGGGATAAAATCCTATATCTGCTTCTCCCTGCCTGACTTCTACCTCTCTCTCTCTCTCTCTTTACGTGGGGGTGTGGGGAGCTGCTAGTTATTGGGCTTCTCTATCCGAAGTGGCCAAGACACTTGCATTTGTGTGTGGAGAGCCAGACAACAACCAAGTCAAAAAATAAATAAATGAGATATTCTCAGAAAGAGATAAACACTTTGAAGAAAATCAAGCAGCTTGGGAGACACCGAGAGAGATGCGCCGTGGGGCAGGCCTCTCCGAGGAGAGAGGTATTGAGTTGAGACCTAACTGACATATGCGAGCCAGACTTGACAAGATCTGGGGGCACGGCATTCTAGGTGGAGGGAGCTCCAAGTGCAGAGGTCCTGAGGTGAGGTCACACTTGGTGTGTTGGGATGGTTCACAGACACCAGAGCTCTGTAGGCCAAGTTAGGATTTTGGATTTTATTTATTGTGTAATGGGAAGCCCTTGAAGGATTTTATGTATGTGACTTAAAAATTGATTTAAAATTTTTGAAAATTTCAATTTCAATTTAGATTTAAAATTAAAAAAAATCTACTTCCTAGAGGCATAATTTACATACAATAAAATTATTTAAAATGTACAGTTTGATGAGTTTTTTTTAATTTTATTTTTATTTTTTTTAAGATTTTATTTATTTATTCATGAGACAGAGGAGGAGAGAGAGAAAGGGAGAGAGAGAGAGAGAGAGAGAGAGAGAGAGAGAGAAGCAGAGGGAGAAGCAGGCTCCCAAGGAGCAGGGAGCCTGATGCGGGACTTGATCCCAGGACCCCGGGATCACGACCTGAGCCGAAGGCAGACGCTTAACCATCTGTGCCACCCAGGCGCCCCAGTTTGATGAATTTTGACAGATATATACATCTATGTAACCACCACCACAATTAAAATATTTAACATTCCTATCATCCCAAAAAGTTCCCTTATGCCCCTTTATAGTCAATCCTACCCTCCAGGACCATCCCGAATCCTAGCACTATGTGAAACTTCCTGCAGACTCTTCATCCAGCCCCCCCGATGGTACCATCTTACGTAATCACAGTATGTCTGTCAAAAGCACAACATTGACATTGGTACAACGTTACCACCCGAACTATAAACTCTAGTCAGACTTCCCCGGTTTTCTCACTGTTTTTTTTTCTCTTCCAAGATCCAATCCAGGATTGTGTTTCCTAATCATGTGTCCTGAATCTCATCCATTCTGTGACAGTTTCTTAGTTTTTCTTTGCTTTTCATCATCTCGGGCAGTTTTGAGGCATATTTTGTAGAGTATCTCTCATTTTGGGTTTATCTCTTGTTTTCTCGTGATTGGACAGGGCTTATGGGTTTTAGGGGAAAGTACCACAGAGGTGAAATGCCTTGCATGATAACATGACTTTACCTCGTTATCCATCTTGATCACCTGGTTAAGATGGTGTTTACCAGGTTTCCTACCAATTCGGGGACATGTGTGGGTGGTGGGGGGCAGGGTAGAAGAAAATTGGAGTTGAAATTAGCTTCTGCACCTTTAAAATGGGAATATTACCTATCTCATAGCCTTACTGTGAGGATTAAGCCACATAATAATACAAGTAAGGAATTTAGCAGTCTGGTACATAGTAGGTGCTCAACAGGTGTTAGCTTCTACTATTATTATGAGTAGTAGCAGCGGTACATTTTCTCCGGTCTACCTTCCAGAAGGAGCAGTTTCTGGTTTTTTATATGTAACATGCTGCTAAGTAAGTGGCCTGAAATATGATTCTTCACTTCCTCACTGTTCACATGTGTGAAATGGGCTAACAGGACACCCAGACATACAGCCTCACCCCCCGGCCCACAGCAGACCCATCCCGGAGTCAGGTGATGGGGGTCAGGCGATGAAGCGTTGAAGGAGGGCACCCCTGGAAAGGCTGCTCGTGAAGTGTTCTCACAGAGCCGGACCCTGTGCTACCTGCTCTGCTCCAGTGGTCTCTGGCCCCTGCCCCTCTGTGCACTAGGGAGAGATCCTAATGGCCACTCCCCGTAATTTGGGGGAAATTTAAGACTGGGGTCCTTTATAGGCAGGTTCTGGGGCAACAGGGTGGGGAGGGGCTGTGGATCTGGATCTCTGAAATTCACAGACATCCCCACTTGCACACTACTTTATTTTATTTTTTAAAAAGACTTTATGTATTTATTTATTTGAGAGCGAGAGTGCACAAGCAGGGGCGGGGGGAGGGGCAGTGGGAGAGGGAGAAGCTGACTCCCAGCAGAAAGCCTGACCTGGGACTTGATCCCTGGACCCTGAGATCACGACCTGAGCCGAAGGCAGACACACAACTGACTGAGCTACCCAGGCGCCGCGCACACTACTTTATTTTAAAGTGTGTGTGTATGTTTATTACCAAAGTACAATCTTGCTGTGAGAACAGCAGACATCACAGCGCACAAAAGAAAAGTCAAAAGTCCTCCTGCGGCTGGCCCCCTGTCCCAGTCCACTCTCCAGAAGTCAACCCCATGACTGACAGTTGGAGGCCTTCTGTCTAGAGGGGCCCTCTCACCAGGTCTGCCTCCAGGCCTGTAATCCAGAGTCCAGAGGTGCAGGAACCTCCGTTCTTTACACCTGCACACCCTCTAGTGGGGCTGCTTCACACAGCGAGGTGAGGACACGGGGGGGGGGGGGGGGGGCAGGGGTGGCCCAGGGAAATCAGCATTCCAAGCCCAGTCTCACCTAGTTCCCACCAGACCTTGTCTAGCTAGGTGGGTTTTTCTCCCCACCCTGGGGCTGAGAGGGAACCAGAAACAATGCTACTTGCTGAAAAAAAAGTAAAAAAGAGCACCAAATTTATTACAATAATGATCCTAACAAGTCAAAGGTAGCCTTCTCACCAAGACAGAATCATAAAAAGCTCATAATAATCATAATAACCATTTATGGAAGCCCTTATTAAGGCAGGGCATTGTTTTACTTATATTAATTTGTATAATTATCATAATACTCCCCAGAAGTAGTATTCCAGATATTTCTCTTTTCTAGAAGAGGATGCTGGCTCTCGGGAAGTTCACTGCAGGAGACAGTACAGTACGTGGGGCAGTTCATAGCTCAAGGCCTGGAGGCAGACCACCTGGGTGTGCCATCCTGGTTCTGCCACTTACCAGCCGTGTAACCTCGGGCTTCGGTGATCCAACCTGCCGTGACTGTTTCCATTCTTGTAAAACGGGGATGATGATAGAATCTGCCTCAGACGGTGGCTGTGAGGATTAAGCGAGTAAGTGTGTGTGTCAAGTGCCTGGCACAGAGAAGATATTCAATACAGATGAGTGTTAGGATTAAATGATGGGCTCGAGCCTCAGTGAGTGACTGATGGAGGAGGAATTTGAACTCAGGACTTCATACTTGGAGACTTGTGGGCTCACCCTCTAGATAGTGTTGCCAGCCTAGAGCCCACCAGCAACTTCCCACAAGTCCTGGGTCCTCAGGAGCCCCAGGTGTCACTGACGTGAGGATGACAGCGTCCCCTCTGAAGAGCCAGTGATTCTTGAGGGGGAGGTCATCAGAGGTAGAGAAGACTCTGTGACTGTTGGTAGAGGGAGAGCCATCTCTGGGCCAGCCTCTCCGGGCTGTTGTTCCTTTCTCCTTAGAGGAGAACCTTCCCAAGTCCCCTGCTCTGATCAGTGCTTGTCAAGGAGGATGGGGCTTATCTACCCTTCTGGGGATCCTTGCTGATCCTAACTAGGATTGTGATCCAAAGACTCAAAAACTCCAATATGGCAAATGATGTGATTGCCAGGGGACCCATGAAAGGATGGCTACCTCCTAAATATGGGCACAGACATGACTGTTTGGAGTGGTGACGTCCACTCTGTCTCCAAAGATGGGTGGGAGTTATGAAGTGACGGAAGGACATTCTAGGCAGAGGGCCAGTGTGAGCAAAGGCAGGGAAACTAGAGACAGCATCGAAGAAGGGATCGAGTTTGAGACAAGAAAGAGGTGGCAGAAGAGGAGGCTTGCAGAGGCCAGTGGTGATCAGAATTTGATCTCCATAAGTTGTCAAAGTGCTTGAACTTTCTTTGGTTGAAACTGGGGCACGAATGAAGAGTCATGAAAGGAGGAGGTGAGAGTGGAAAAGTTTTGTCATCTGTAGAATGGGCTAATAATAGCACCTGCCTCACAGGGTTATTATAGGATTAAGTGAGCCATCCACATGAAGTACTTAGAAATGGTGGCACAAAGAAAATGAAACGTTAGTGATATAAATGTTAGTGATGCTGCTGCTGCTGATTGCAATAGGAGGCCACCAAGGCAGTCCATAAAGTGAGTGAGGCTTCGCTGGGTGGATGGAGGCCAAGGCCAGCCTTACATGGAAATCCAGTAAGCCATGGACTTGTCTGCCGCTAAAGAGTAAAACCCAAGCTCCTGAGGTGATGTGACCTCTTTCTCATTCACTAGGTTTCAGCCACGTTGTCTTCTTTCCGATCTTGGAACGTACCGAACCTGGGCCTTTCCCTTTATTGTTGACTCTGTCTGGAAAGCCCTTCCCCCACATCTTCTAATGGCAGCTGCTTTCTTATCATCAAGATCTTTTTTTTTAGATTTTTATTTTTTTAAAGATTTTTTTTATTTATTTGAGAGAGAGAGAATGAGAGATAGAGAGCATGAGAGGGAAGAGGGTCAGAGGGAGAAACAGACTCCCTGTTGAGCAGGGAGCCCGATGTGGGACTCGATCCCGGGACTCCAGGATCATGACCTGAGCCGAAGGCAGTCGCTTAACCAACTGAGTCACCCAGGTGCCCTCTTATCATCAAGATCTTAGTTCAAATTTCTTCAGACAGCCTTTCCTGAGCCTCATCCAGCATATCAGCCTTATGACCAAATAAAATGATCTTATTTGCTTTCATGTGTAATGTTTGTTGCTCCTTACCTCCTCTAGGTTGTAAACTCCACAGGGGCACCAATTACACATTTCTTGTCCACTGCTGTTTTCACAGGTCCTTGAACACTGCCCGGCATATGGAGACTGTCCGAAAACTGAACGCCCGAAATGATTTATTAGAGATTCATTCCTTTCAAGCTGTTCGTGGGAAAGATCAGCTATTAGCAAAGTGGATTCAGGTTGCTGACAACTTTGTAGAGGTAGACTCTGGGGGTGGAGGGGAAGGATACTTCACAAAGCAAATTAAGTTCTGATGGATGAGAGCGGGGTACAAGCCAGGGTAATTTCTATTATGAGGCTGGTTGGGGAACTGCTATGAACTGTGGTGTCTTGACGGGTGACAGAGGAGGTGGTGGGGCAGAAAGGGGCTGGGGGGACTCAGAGGCAAGGCCTATCAGCGGGGCTGCAGAGGGCCATTGTCTCAGGTCTTACATTCCATGAAGGCCCTCAAATTTAGCCTTTTGACATGATCTCCAAAGGAGGTTACACCTAGTCAGACACAAAGGTAGGCTTCATGAAAGATGCTCATTTGTACAGCTGGGATTACAGAATCCAAGGGTAACAAGAACTCATCTTTTAAGACCTACCTACAGCATCTGACACAGTTATTTTCCTTCTCCCTGTCTTCACGCGGCTTCCAGAACACTACACTGTCCTGGTCCTACTTCCTCAATGGCTGCTCCTTCTCAGTCTCCTCTGTTGGTTCCTACTCATCTCATCCCTCACGTCTAAATGTCTATTTCTAGAAGGCAGCCAAACGGAGTGCTCAGGGCCTTTGCACCTGCTGAAACACTCTTCCCCAATGCTGGCTCTTTCAGGTCCTTAGCTAAATGTCACTTGAGGTCTCTTCCCCACCACCCTATGTAGTACTGCACTCCCTCCAGTCCTCTACCCCTTTTCCCTCCTTTAATTTTATGGTTCTCATCACCAAATGACCTACTGCATGTATTTCTTGTTTAGTGCTTGTCTCTGCTGACTAGTAAGTCGGTGCCAGTTGAGCTCCAGTAGAGCAGTAAACTGCTCTATGTTTGCTGCTAAACCTCTATTCTCTAGAACAGTGCCTAACACACAGTACATTTAAATGAATGTTGGGAAGTTTTGTGACTTCAATTTTGTGTATTTTCACTTAAAAATATATAAGGAATTTTACGGGGATGGCTGAACTACTTAAATATGAGAGTCTAATGCACGATTTTTATTTATCCTGGAAGGACTGGTATACTTAGTGCAGGTAACTACTGTGGCTGCCGACTAACAGCTAATCAAAAGGCAGAGCAGGCATTCAAGATACCTTTCCTGAACTTCCCTTTGGGAGTGAGGTACTTGTGTGTGGAATCTGCCGGGGTGCAGCCTGGTTGTGATGCTAGAAGTCCCGGGGGTGCAACGGCTCAGACAGGTTCTTACAGGGGACTCGAGCGAGGTAAAGCTACAGCAGCAAAAACACGCGACTCCACCAAAAATAGAAGCTTCAGTCTCAGCCCGGGGCGAGGCCCAACCACGCAGCTGCAGAAAGACCCGGGGTGGAGCCTGCGCAGCCGCAGAAGAGGATAGGTGGGCCTGCGCAGCCGCAGAAAGAGCGGGCGGCCTGTGTGCGGATGGGGGTGTGGGTGTGTGTATGTGTGTGTTGTGGGGGGGTGGGGCTGGATCCCGCGCTGTTCGCACCAGGCTTGAAGTAGCGGGTTCCGGAGCCCCGCACCGCGGCGGGTGAGGCCGGCTCCGCTGCGCAGGCCTCCGGCCGCGAGCCCTGTTTCCCTGAGCCGCCGCCATCATGCTGCTGCCCGTGTTCACCCTGAAACTGCGCCACAAAATCAGCCCCCGCATGGTGGCCATAGGGCGCTACGACGGGACTCACCCGTGCCTGGCAGCCGCCACCCAAGCGGGCAAGGTAACCGTTCCCACCGCACGGAGTCGGGTCCGCCGAGTTCCCAGGATCTCCGCTGCTGCGCCCCTGCGCCCCCGCCCCCAGCCACGGTTGCCCGGCAACCTAACTCTCCGCCCTGCGCAGAATAAGGAAGAATGATGGGGTCTCGCATGAAGGACTTTTCCAAGCAGTTTGTCTGTAGGCACTTAGACTCGGACAGTGTTGGAGCCCCTGTGCAGATAGGAAGCTTAGGGAAGGAAAGTCTCTAGGAGGGAAGAGGTTTGGTCAGGATTAGGAGTGGTAGCGTACCCCAGGTTTGAGCCCAAGGCCTCTCTGCCTGTCACTCTGGAGCTCCTTTCACTATTTCATATTGCCTCTCGAACCAGACAACTTTACGGAAAAAAATACAAAGACCCCTAAATTCAGTGATTCAAATTTCACTTGATCTTTATTCCGTGTACAGTTATGTCTTTTCCTAGAATTTATTCACTAAGTACCTGTTCGGTGCTTACAATGTGCCAGGTGCTGTGCAAGGTGTGGGAGTCACAGAGATGAAACGGTCATTTAATATTCATGAGACTTACTGAACACTTCCTTTGTGCTAGATGTTGGGGGTTCAGAGATAAAGCTGAAATCTCTACTTTCACAAAGCTTAAAATCCAGCAGAGAAGGCATATCAAGGCACTCTGTACTGATGGAGGCATGACCAAAATCCATGGAATACCAGTGACACCAAGCGTAATAATGTAATAATGTTTAACAGGTACAAAGCTTTATTACACGAATGATCTCGGCATCCTTGCTACAATGCCAAGGACAGCAGCACAGCAGAGGTGTGATCCTGGCTCCCGTACCTACTAATTTCATGACCTTGGGCAAAGTACTTAATAATAGTATCTACCACATAGAACTAAGTAAGTTAATAGGCATGTAAGTCACTAATTGTTGTTATTTTCTTGTCCTTACTCCCACTTCACTGAGTAGAATAGCGGTTCAGAGAGGTTCAAAGTAATGCTTGAGGTCGTGCAACTAGAAAGTGGTGGATATGAAAGGTAAAGTACCTGTTCTTGACCCAGTGTGGATTTAATAAGCTAATATTTATATAATGTTTTATAGTTTTCAAGACACTTCCACCTACGCTGTATGTTAGATGATAGGCCTTGGGATACATAAGTAGAAAGTAATGATGCATTTTCATTAGGTACTGTAATGAAGTAGAGCCCCCTAGCACAGGGCCTGGCATGTAATAATGTTAGTTATTAAGAGGTTCTGCAAACGCCAAAAAAAAAAAAAAAATCATATTGGTTCCATGGGTGCATAGCAGCTAAATAAATGGGCTGAAAACGTCCCGTGGATATTGGCTCTGCCCCTTATTTGTTGAGGGCTTACTATAGCTGAACACTGTTCTTAGCTTTGTAGTTGCAAGGTTGAAAGTGAGAAGTGTCACCCATTTGGAGTTTACATTTGAAAGGGGGAGCTAGATACGGGAGGGAGAAAAAGTATATATATATTATATTTGCATATTTTATGTTTTATTTATATGTTAAAATATATTTATATATACATATAAATAACACACAGATAATGTCTCCCTAGGGGGGAAAAATAGTAAGGGGATGGGAATGATGGGAGATTGCTATTTTAGATAGGGTGATCCATAGGCCTCTGATAACTGTAGATCAGAGATTTGAAGAAAAGGAAGAAACAAGCCCTGCAGATATGTGGGGTAAGTGCCTACCAGGCAGAAGGATCAGCAAGTGCAAAGGCCTTGAGGTGGAAATATGCTTGGTGTGTTCCAGCAACAGGAGGCTGCTGGGGCTGGGATGGAATGAAGGAAGCAGTGAGATAGCCAGGGGCCAGATCATATAGGGCCAGTAGGCCATGTAAAGACCATTGTTTTTGGGTGATGGGGTTTGATTAATGTTTTAAGATAAAGCACAACTCTAGCTGGTACTGCAAGAGAGGTGCAGGGAGGTGAGTGTAGAAGTAGAAGCAAGAAGGTCAGGCAGAGGTGTCTATGGAAGCCCTATCATTAGAATGTGACCGAATATGGAAGACAGGGACACTGGAGTCTAGGTCTGTTTCTGGAGTTAGAAAAAAATAGAGTGAGAGTGAGATCGAGAGAGAGAGAAAGTCCTGTGACCTATGTAATTGGATATTTTGTTTAGAACTTTAAACAAATCTCAAAAGTTATGACCTGATATTTTATATTGAGACTTTAAAAAAATGGTAACATTTTATGATCCAAGTAATACAGGAATATATTCTGCTTTAAAAATAATTAAGCAACAATAACACAATAATAACAATTAAACATTCCAGCTAAGACTAAAGCCCTCCTTGACCATTGGAGCCCACATCTCTAGAAACAGGATTTTGTCATTATAAGTGGGATTCTGTTGAGAACGTGAATCTGACTTACTGGAATCTGGGTCTCTGAGCCTGGGCAAGGATTTTATTTGTTTTGTTTTGAGCAAGGATATTTTAAAAAGGGGTTTCTTGCAAGATGAACGTTATTGTTTTTCTCTGGGGACATGTTTCCTCTCACCATGAGGCTGAAGGGACCCGTTGAATTTCTCCTGTCAGTAGCATCCCCTCAGCTAGAACAAATGTTCCATGAACTTTAGCCAGTCCTTTGGCTGAAGGCACGGGGTGTGATCCATTTGTTTGTGTGACTGAGCTTGGCTTTTTCCATGCCCGAGGGACAGGTAGGTCTCCTGGAGACTCAGAGAACAGCAGGAGGGGAATTAGGGAAAAGTCTGCTCCTGGGAGTGTTGCTGCTGTTGGCCACAAACCCCAAACTCTTTCTTTTCCAATAAGCAGGGAATATGTAGTCCATTAGTGATTTCCCTTCCTGTTCTCCCTCAGCCTGTCTAATTACTGGAAGACTCTGAAAGAATTCTTTTGTTCCGAACTATTTAAAAGGAAGTTAAGACATGGTGGCTAGAGTGTAGGTTCTGGAACCAGATGCCAGATGCCAGGTGTCAGGTCTTAGCCCTCTTCACTTACCAGTCACCAGACCTTGGGAAAGGGCCTTGACCCTTCTGACCTCATCTGTAAACCAGGGCTTATTGTGAGGATCAAATGCAGTAACGTTTATAAAAGCGTGTTGTAAAGTATTACACAAATGAGGACATCAACATGATATTCCATAGTTATGTACCTTTTCTGTATATTTCTAGTCAATTCCTTTGAAAATTATTTGTTGAGCAGGCTGTCTGTTTAGATAATAACTTAAAATTAATCTTTGGATTTCTATTGAAGGGATGAAATACTTATTTAAAAATCAGTGAATTTTGGGGGCGCCTGGGTGGCTCAGTTGGTTAAGCGACTGCCTTCGGCTCAGGTCATGATCCTGGAGTCCCGGGATCGAGTCCCACGTCGGGCTCCCTGCTCAGCAGGGAGTCTGCTTCTCCCTCTGACCCTCTTCCCTCTCATGCTCTCTATCTCTCATTCTCTCTCTCTCAAATAAATAAATAAAATCTTTAAAAAAATAATAAAAATAAAAATCAGTGAATTTTAAAACTGGAAGAGGTTTAAGCGGTCTCTAATACAGTGTTTCCCACCGTTTTTTACTTTGCATTTTTTAGACAGGGAAGATTTCCCTAAAGAAATTTTAATACCACAGATATGCTGCATGTCTGTTTTTGTACTGTGCCCTTTTGGAGGGCCACAAGCCATTTTAATATCTAACATCCTCCTACCCCACAAACAGTGACCCCTCTTGGGGTGATTATATCTATGAGAGTTGAAACTGCTAAGTTAATTAACTTTGGACTAATTATTTAATTCTGTCTTACTAGTATAGACCATGAAACCTTGAAAAAGCTTGACCACATGACTCAGTTTAAGTTTGTAAAACACATCTACGAACAATCAGACTTTAAAACTATATATTTTAACTCTTTTTTTAAAGATTTTATTTATTTATTTGAGAGAGAGAATGAGAGATAGAAAGCACGAGAAGGAAGAGGGTCAGAGGGAGAAGCAGACTCCCTGCTGAGCAGGGAGCCCGATGCGGGACTCGATCCTGGGACTCCAGGATCATGACCTGAGCCGAAGGCAGTCGCTTAAACAACTGAGCCACCCAGGCGCCCTATATATTTTAACTCTTAAAACAACCAGGGTTTGTTTTTTTTTTTTAAAGTTTTATTTAAGTAATCTCTACACCCAGCATGGGGCTTGAATTTACAACCCCAAGATCAAGAGTCACATGCTCTTTCGAATAAGCCAGCCAGGTGCTCCTGAAACAACCAATTTTCAGGGTTAGGAAGTGAATGTGTTAGGTGCTTGGATGAAAGATACTATAGGAAGTGTTTATTACTGTATGTTATGTGATCCTCTTAGTGTGATGCAATCACGTTGTAGCTGGAAGCGCTTCCTGAAGGTTGACCAGGCGGAGGCTAGTTTGTGAGAGTGCTTGACGTCCTGCTTGTGGGTAGCAGATAAGCTGCCCTGGTGAGCAACAACTACATCTGGTCCATTACCTTGTTCTCGAGAAGGCTAAGAACCACTAGGTTTCCACATTTCCTAGTAATTGAAAGCTAGCAATACACCGAACTATGTATGAGTGTTTCAAGTTTTGTAGGTGATTAAAGTGACCTCTTGTCAGTGTTGATATCTCTTAATACCCTGGGTCTCTTAAAAAATGTATGTTAATTTTACATTTTTGGTATCTTTTTTATTTTTTTTATTTTTTAAAGATTTTATTTATTTATTTGAGACAGAGAGAATGAGAGAGAGAGAGATAGCGTGAGCACATGAGAGGGGGGAGGGTCAGAGGGAGAAGCAGACTCCCTGCTGAGCAGGGAGCCCGATGCAGGACTCGATCCAGGGACTCCAGGATCATGACCTGAGCCGAAGGCAGTTGCTTAACCAACTGAGCCACCCAGGCGCCCACATTTTTGGTATCTTAAGGGGATGTAATTAACTGTTTCTGTTTTAGGTTTTTATTCACAATCCTCATACCCGGAGCCAGCATTTCAGTGCCTCTGGGGTCTTCCAGAGCCCTCTGGAGTCTGACGTTTCGCTTCTCAACATTAACCAGGCAGTCAGCTGCCTGACCGCAGGAGCCCTGAACCCAGAACTTGGGTATGATGCTCTTTTAGTGGGGACGCAGACTAATCTTCTGGCTTATGATGTCTACAATAACTCAGATTTGTTCTACAGAGAGGCAAGTATACCCCTTTACAACCGTAGCGTTCTCATTATTCATGAACGTCCTTTGGTATTTTATGCTTGAAAGAGATGAGACACTTATTTTGGTTTGCTTATTGTATGGCTCTTGTAATGTAAACAACTCGGAGATTTTTCCATTTCCATCTGCACTCTGCCTGACACTTACTTGTTTTATCATGGTTGGTAACCACTGGGCACCACTCCAGCTTGTCCCCCATGAGGTACATCTGTGCTACCACCACCTGTCAAGATCTATTGAGAGCTCAGCCAAGAGCCAGGAAGTCAGTGATCAGACTTCCTGGTAGCTTTGCATTAAAGTTTAGTATAGTAGTTTATAGGAGAAGCCACTTACTGTGCTCTGCCATCTACAGGCTACAGGCTTTTTACCCAAGTTATTCATATTTATTATGGAAAAGATAGGGAAGCAAAAAAAAAAAATACTCATAATTTCTCCATCTAGAAATAACACAACCCTTAAACTGATTTTTACTAAATGAATTTTTTTTTTACAAAATGGGATCATACTAAATACATGTAGCCTTTTTTCTAGAACTTATTGTAATATATTAACATATTAAGATATAATTCACATACCATACAATTCACCCATTTAAAGGATACAATACAGTTGTTTTAGTTTATTCAGTGACTTGTGCAGCTATCACCACAATCAGTTTTTTTTTAAGATTATTTATTTATTTATTTATTTGAGAAAGAGAGAGAGGGGAAGAGCAGCAGAGGGAGAGGGACAAGCAGACTCCATGCTGAACGCGGAGCCCAATGCGGGACTTGATTTCATGACCCTGAGATCATGACCTGAGCCAAAATCAAGAGTTGGATGCTCGACTGACTGAGCTGCCCAGGTGCCCCTCACCACAGTCAATTTTAGAACATCTTCATTATCCCAAAAGAAACCCCGTACCCATTAGTAGTCCCCATTCTCTCCCAACCTGTGTTGCTTAGGCAACCACTAATAACTTTCTGTTTCTGTAGATTTGCCTATTCTGGACATTTTGTATAAACAGAATCATATAATAAATGGTCTTTTGTGACTGGTTTCTTTTTCTTAGGATAATATTTTCAAGGTTGATCCATGTCATAGCATGTATCAGTACTTCATTTCTTTTTTATGGCTGAAGAATTTTCCATTGTATGGACATACCATATTTTCTTCATCCAGTTATCAGTTAATGGACATGTATATTGTTTCCACTCCCTGGCCCTTACACGTGGCCTTTTTATTCAGTACCACACTGTGAACATCTTTATGTGAAGTTACTGTATATCCATACGTCATTCTTATTGGTTCTAAATTTTTTTCATTGTGCTACTATATAATAATTTGCTTAATCAATTTCATATTGTTGCATATTTATGTTATTTCCATAGTTTCTGTATTACAGTTGATATTTTGATAAGCATATATCTGATGATTTCCTAAGGATAAGTTCCTAGAAATGCAGTTATTTTGGTATTTTTTAATTGAGATAAAATATACATACAGTGAAATGCACAAACCTTATGTGCGCTGTTCAGTGCGTTTTGATTCCTGTAACCAACATGCCTTATAAAAATATAGAATTTTTCCATCACTTCAGAAAATTTTGTTGTGCCCCATTCCAGTCATTTCCTATATCTCCTAGACATTCAGTGTTCTGATTTCTGTCACCTTAGCTTAGCTTTCTCTGTTCTTGAATTTCATATAAATCGTACAGAATGTGCTCCTTGGTATCTGGCTTCTTTCACCCAGCATGCCTGTGAGAATCATCCATGTTGTTGCATGGAGCAGTAATTCTTTTTTGTTGCTGAGCAGTATTCCATTGTGTGAATATACCACAATTTGTTTGTTCATTCTTCTGATCATAGGTGGGATGGACATATTGGGTTGTTTCCAATTTGGGGCAATTATTAATAAAATTGCTATAAATATTTTTGTACTAGTCTTCTTATGGGCATATGATTTAATTTATCTTGGGTAAATACCTAGGAATGCTAGTACCATTTCACACTTCCCATCAGCAGTGTATGAGAGTTCCAGTTGCTCCATACTTTCTCAACATTTGGTAATCCCAGTCTTTTCAATTTTAGCCATTTTAAAGTGTAAAGTGATATCTTACTGTGGCTTCATTTTGCATTTCCCTCATGACCAATGATGTAGAACACCTTTTCTTGTGCTTAGTTCCCACTTATCTGCCTTCTTTTGTAAAGTGTCTAATAAAAAGGTCTTTTGCCTGTTTTTTATTGATACTTCGGGTGTATTATTGATTTGTAGATTTTCTTTGGCTATACTGGGTACAAATTCTTATATATATATACATAAATAAAATAATATTTACAACATATATAGCAAATAACAATATATATAACAAGTATCTTCTCCCAGTGTGTGGCTCATTCCAATAAGTGGGTGTCTTTTGATGAGCAAAAGTTTCTGATTTTGTTGGAAGTCTAGCTGTTTGGTTTTTTCTTTAATAGTTAGTGCTCTTTCTGTCCTGAGAAGTCTTTGCCTATTTCAGGGTCACAAAGATAGTTCTCCTGTATTTTTGTGCAAGACTGAAATTGAGTGTAGGAGGGGTATATGTACATATAGGGAGAGAGAGAGATTAACTGGTTTATTTTAAGGAATTGGCTCAGACAATTGTGGAGGCTGGCAAGTCCAAAATTTGCAGATTAGGCATCATCTAGGGGAGAGATGATGTTGAAACTTGAGTCCAAAGACAGTCTGGTGGCAGAATCCTTCCTCCAGGGAGGTCAGTCTTTTTTCTATTAAGGCCTTCAACTGATTGGATGCGACCTACCCGTATTATCGAGGGCAATCTGCTTTGCTCAGAGTCTGCTGATTTAAATGTTAATCTCATTAAAAAAATACCTTCACAGAAACACCTAGAATAATACTTGATTCAATATCTGGGTACCATGGTTTAGACAAGTTGACACATAATTAATGATCTCAAGAATGCACCTCTGCAATTGCTATGTTAAAGGCCTTTTTTAAATGAGATTTTTGATAGGTATTGCTAAATTGCTCTCTACAAAGACTATTATTTTCCACCTTCCCCACAGAATATGAGAGTGCCTGTTTTATCACACCCAACCAACAATGGATCATATTATTTTTCATCTTTCTAATCCAAAAATTGAAAATGATACATTGTGAGAATGAAGATTTTCATGTTCATTGGTGATTTGTATTTCTTGTGAATTTCCTGTTCTTTTTTTGGCTTGGGTGTTTATCCTTTTCTTATTTATTTGCTTTCTATTACCTCTTTTATTAACAGAAAAATTAGTTCTTTGTCCTAGGTATTGTAGGTGTTTTCCCAGTTTATTGTTTACCTTTTTATCTTTTGATTGATTTGCCATTTAGCAGTTTTGATTTCTAATGAATTTTTCTTTCCTTATAGCCAGTCTTTTTATAGTTTTCCCACGTGCAGATTATATAAATAAGGACTGTTTTCTTGTATAATAAACAATTAGCATTTCCAAAGATATCCTTGAATTTTTTTTTTTTAAGATTTTATTTATTTATTTGACAGAGAGAGAGAGTGTGAGAGAGGGAACACAAGCAGGGGGAGTGGGAGAGGGAGAAGCCAGGCTTCCTACGGAGCAGGGAGCCCGAGGCGGGGCTCAATCCCAGAACCCTGGGATCGTAACCTGAGCTGAAGGCAGATGCTTAACGACTGAGCCACCCAGGCGCCCCGATATCCTTGAATTTTTAACAAATAAATTAAATTATGCTTATGTGCTTTATTCAAGAAGTCTGGAACATTTATTAATTTTGGGTGGTGGGGATGTAGGTGTTTTATTATTCTTTGTACTTCTCAGGAACTTTACAATTAAAAAGAGTACTAGCAAGAGAACTAGGTAATAAGTATTGAAAAGAGTTCCATCCAACATGGTTAAAGTGGATTATAAAAGCTTGGGCGTTTTAAAGATATAAATTTGATTCTGTCAAGCATTTGGCCTCTAGAACTCATAGTTCTAGAGAGGCTCAGATTGTGTAGCAGTTTATTGTGGCGGATTAGTGTGAGAGGCCAGCAGCCTGAGTCGATCCTGGGTCTCTGCTCATCCCTGTGGAAGCACACGTAAGCCACAGTGACTGTACCCGGTGTATGGCCCTGGCCTGCCTCTCAGGAGACCATGTGGCTTCTCACAAATGATGACAGAGATTTGAGTATCAAAATAAAAATAAGGAAATATGTTACATCCACTGTGCCTGTGCGTCACTGAATCTGAGATTTTTTGTGTTTTTCGTCTTTCTTAGGTTGCAGATGGGGCCAATGCAATTGTGCTGGGAACACTCGGAGACATTTCCTCTCCTCTTGCCATTATTGGTGGAAATTGTGCTCTGCAGGGTTTTGACCATGAAGGAAATGATCTCTTTTGGACGGTATGAAGAACAAAACATTCTCTTAATCCTCTTAAACATTTTTACTTTTAATGTTCTTTATGCTTTGTTTATTTTTTACTATTGACTATAATGAATAAGAAAATGAAATAGAATCATATTTATAATTCTGTACATTAAAAAAAGAACATTTGTAATTTGAATAATACCCATTGCTGATTTGTATAATCCTCTTTTATGTAGCTAATGTATTTGGATTAAGTGAGAAAAAGATGGCATATTAATGAGCTTTGGTTTTATTTTCAGGTTACTGGAGATAATGTTCATTCCTTGGCCTTATGTGACTTTGATGGTGATGGTAAGAAAGAGGTGTGTGGAGGAGGAGATACTTGTGTGTTCAGCTGAATAATTTTCCCATGACAATGACATCAGTGTTAAGAGAAGCATTAGCTTCTCTTGGATGATTTTGGTGCTCTCTTGCCTAAATGACAAGCTAACTGGCCTCATTTGTCTTTCTCCTCTTTTTTTTTTTTTTAAAGATTTTATTTATTTATTTGAGAGAGAGAGAATGAGAGA